ATTAATTTAATCATGGATAATATCAAAAAAGATTTTGGTTAAAAGGGAGAAAGCAGGCTAGGGTGAAGGAGCCAGAAATCAGAAACTCACAGAGTTATATGCAGCCACCTTTGTCTAGTGACGGTGGTCCAAACAGAGATCCAACCTCTTACGATATGTTTTCCGGCCACTTCCCCGAGGGTTTAAGGGTCCTAGTATTTGATGAAGATTCGGCATATCTGCAAGAGTTGGAAAAGCATCTCCAAGATTTTCAATACCAAGGTAGCTGTTTCGATTACTAGGCAATAAGGATAAAGTTTGACCTAGTTGTTTTAATTAATCAAATATTTCTATATGTTTTAGTGTGCATATGCAATGAAGAGAAGCGAGCCATGTATCTACTCCGCAACCATAGGAATAGATTCGATATCGCTATCATCGAATCACACAATTCAAAGGGTAATAGATTCCGGCTAATCTCGGAAATTGGAGTGGAAATGGATCTTCCAATCATTAGTAAGTGTATATTTAGCACTATTCTTCTTTACTTAATTAGGGAAACACAAAAAAGGAATCCAACATTAATTGAGTGTTTTTGGATGCAGTAATGTCTAAAGACGATTCCGTGGAATCAGTGGTCGATTGGATGATGAATGGTGTTTGCGACTATCTTATAAAACCGATAAACCCTAACGATTTAAGAATGATATTCAAACACGTGGCAAAGAAGATACAAGGACGGAGGAGTGTAGTTGCCAGAGAGGAGGCAGAAGAAAAGGTGGCAGGAGCTGCGGAGAAGTCATCTTCTGTGGGAGATTCCACCATAAGAAATCCTAACAAGAGAAAAAGAGGCATTGAGGAAGATCATGATGGTACTTCCTCCTCCAAGAAAAGACGAGTGGTGTGGGAGGATGACCTTCACAAAAAGTTTCTCGCCGCCGTGGAACAGCTTGGCCCCGCCAGTGAGTCACATACATACATTACGGCTTTTTTATATTTACTAGGGTTTACCATTTCTGATATATATATATATATTCTATGCAGATGCTTTTCCAAAGAAAATTGTAGAGTTGATGAATGTTCCGAATATCTCTCGAGAAAACGTAGCCAGCCATCTCCAGGTACCGTTTCTTCTTATACCACCAACTCAAATTCGAATAATTTGATGTAAAACTCAGATACCCACATATGCATATTCTTGGGATACACATAGTTGCATCGTAAGATACATATATACAACTGCACCTTGGATATACTGATTTAGATTTGAAAACATTTATTTTTATAACACCAAAAAGCTATCGTAAACATACTAACATAGATATTTTATGTATATCACTCTTACTAGTTAAACGATTTAGGATTGTAGTATATCATATTTACCAATCAAACTATTTAGGATTGTAGACTTTAGACTGTACCATCCTATTTTCTAATAAAAAAACCCATATCCTCTAAACTCCTAGAATACTCGATCTGTA